AAAACACAAGTAGCTCAACAAGTAACAAAAGGTACGTTTTAGTTTTTATTGCATTTTCATTTCCTTACACTATCATTTATTTATAGAATATGCTCTAATGCCTATTTTCTTTTATATCTTGCGAGATACCTTTTGGAAAGTGAAGGACAGGGAGCATTGGAGCACTCGGGGAGGGAGCTAGGACAACCGGATCCGAGCATTAGTCGCCCCTATTCATTCTGATAGGGGCGCTACGGGCGGAACCACCGGGTCATAGCCCCCGGTGCTGTAAGCTCTCTTAAAAACTTAGAAAACGTTTAGGGGCCTAGTTGATTGTACGCATCCCACCCTTAGAGCCTTAGAAACTTCAATTATATTTAGGATTGCTTTTACTTTTTTTTTAGATCCTTAAAACCCTGTGACACCCGTGTAGAAGTCTTAGGAATTAGAAAACAACATAACTTTTGATCATACAACTTTAGTGACATCTAAGGATAAAAAAACTAAGGACCAAGTCTTAGATAACATAGACTTAAGACGCATGCTCCCTATAGGATAGAAACATTAAAACAAAAACTTAGTGACACGTTTCCCTAGATTTGGATTTCTGTTTTCTTAATGCACTAATAATCAACCAATCAATCTTAATCTAATTCTTAAAAATCTATTAAAACACCCAATCCTTAATCAAGTTATTGTTAATATTTTATAACCATTAAACTTCAAATCTAAAATATAAACCTAAATAAATTCTAACTAATCTAATAATTAATTCTTAACCAATTTAAAATCTAAAAGATATAGATTATATTAGGAGATTGAGTTACAAACTAAACTCATTAGGATAAACGATTCTTAAAGATCAAACTTAGAATAATCTTTTAAAAGTAATCAACAACCCTTAAATACATAACAACCGCTCCAAAAGTGAAGTTTATTGGATGAACTACTCCGGGCTGCGGGGCTAAGTGTCTTAAGGAGGCTGGTTCCTCGAGCCTGGTGGCACAACGCCACGAATGAATCTAATGGAGCGTCAAAATCTAAAATTAATTTTTCTAATTGGCTTAATTTAAACCTTGATAATAAAATGTTGAATCCACATTTTTCTTTCTTTTTCTTTAATAACAAATTAAAATAATCAAACAAAGTTAATTATCACTAGGTAACCCAGGCCTACGAGGCTATTAAGTTAACCCTAAGGAGGGTGAAATAAACCTCACGGCCTCGGTGTGAAACAAAGGTGATAGTTAATCAAATATTAAAAATAAAACATCCTAAAAATCAATCCTAAAACATTAATATTTAAACTTTAACCAAAATTTTTCCTTTACCCCTCTCAACAAACAAAAATATACAAACAACTCTAACTAAACTATCCTATATAGGACTTACCAAAACCACACAGCTTTCACACACTTAGATGAGTTTGATAGGACACGACTATTAGCTTTAGGTTAGGTTGTTGTTCTTCTTTCTTTCATGTGCTGTGTTGTGACGCTCTGCATGTGACCTGTGTGCTGTTTGTTTTTGCTACTTGTTGTAGCTTTTCTGTGACGCTTTTTCTGCTCTTTTCTTTCTTGCACTGTTGTTGTGAGCGTTAGAATACCCATAGGTTAGGCACGCTTTTTCATACTAATGCTGTCTTCCTGCAGGTGGCCATGCTTACACAGCGCTAAAAAGGGGGCTAAAATTAATAATCATTTATAACTGCTTTAGGTACCCGCTTCAGCTGCTTAGCCCCCAATAATTAGAGCACGGCCAAGTGATTGAGTTGAGCACTTCTTTTCTTTTTATATATATAACTGCTTGGGTGGAATTTTATTATAACTGCTTAGGATAACCCCTGCAGGAGAGTCTAGATTTTCTTTTTTTCATTCATGTAATGTATTTGATAGTAAATGTTGTGAAAGTCATTAAAATGGGGTATTTTAAATAAGTAGGAGTCCAAAGGGAAAAGTAAACCCCTACAGAGGGTTTCCTTTTTCATTTGGGTATCCTTTTGGAGCATTCACCACAAGGAGCCTGAAGGATTGAAGATGATCCAAAGACGAATCAAGGAAGTGAAGAAGAAGACTGAAGATGTAAAATGCCTCATTTTAAATATTTGCGTCATTTCCAGGTTGTTGTCGGTGGAGCCCGGCCACCTTTATTTTACTGTACTCTGTGATGTAATATTGTATGGCACTTTCCATGGACACTCTTTTTCGTGGGATTTGTTTTTGTGTTGTGATTTACTTACTTTGTTTACGCAGTAGAACCGGCATGTTTTTTTATAGGTTTCTTTCTTGCATGTGCTTGTGTCTGACCGCTAGGCTCTTTAGGGATAAAACTTTTTATACTCGTAATTATTAAATAAAATTTTTAAGATTAATTCACATAAAAACAATAACGATTTTAGGGAATAGCCGGAATCGTCCGGGGTCGCATACATGCATTCTCTCTTCTTTTAGACAAATTTTCCCGCCTGCGGGTAGAGTCCGGATAATCTGACCTATGAGGATGAAGTGCCGGACCCGGGGAAGTTTAGTCATTCAAAAAATTATTTTTATAAAGCCTTTTTAAAATTCATACATATCTGAATTGGAGACTTTTAACTAGCATAAATTGTATTAGTAACTAATTAAAATCAAAATTTAATTGCATTAGTTTTAGGAGCATTGTACCACTCATAAGTGTGGGATCATTTAGGAATCTCTCTAGTGGTCGATCCCAAATTTCAGTGTCTAAACTACCCTCCCATCTTTCATACAGACTGGACAGCATGGATTTTACACGATTAGGTGGTTTTAGCTGGCTTCCTTTGTCAGGCAAGGAATAAGTCCAGGATCGCATTTGCTAGGTCGTAGATGCTAGTGTTGTGTGTACAACACTACATCTTTTATAGATTCAGGTTCTAAGGTGAGGGGTACGAGTGTACCCCTATACACCTTAATGGTGGGTAAGTTCTCCATTCTTCCGGAGACTATAAATCCTACCCATCCGCGTCACACAGATGACGCCACCTCCCTCTTTCTCTCATGCTTGCTTGAGATGCGTGGCCTCTTTCTTTTCTCCAGTTTCCCCTTCCTCAGATCGGCCGAATGTTGAATGAACCATGTGTGATTGATTAAGCCAACTTGGGACACTCTTTCTCTTTGATTAGGAAAGCCTAGAATTTGCCCTTACACTAAACCCATTCGAGAAGAAAATTTAACATCCCTAATCGAGAGTTTTCTTAGATCGAGGTCTAAGATGTAATTAACTACGGGGGCTTGCGCCCGTAGGAAACCGATCCCCACAATCAAATAAACCCCATTCGAGCTGATGCATCAAATGGGGGAAATCTCGTGAATTTTGGGTTATATATATTATTATCCATCGAGGTTGGTAGGTGAAAGCCGCTATCCTCCATGGCTAATCGCATGTATAACTCCATCTGCTCTTCCATCGGCCTGCTTGTGTCGATTGTAAAGGTCTACGACAACTTTGTCCTACGGGATAGTGCGATCATACCCTTTGCATTCGAACCACATGAGCGAAACCCTTTCGGAGACCCACACCCTTAATTGATTATTTCAATAAAACACACTCACAACTATTTGATCATCCCTCACACAACCACACTCATATGGGCGCACATAGCTACCATCAAATTCATACTAGTGCACTATAAATTAACCACAACATAAATACAACATAATAACAATGAAATATATGCAATACATAAAAATTAAATAACAAAATCATGAAATTTTCTAAGTCTTCTTCATGTAGCTTTTTGTAGTGGACCTAATTCTCTCTCTGATGTAAGCTCTCTTAGTCTGCATTCTTTAGTGAGTCTACTAATTGGTGTAGGTGCTACACCAATCTTCCTCTAAGGAAAGTTCTCATAAAGTGCATGCTACCTTTAATCGAGGTTTATTGAGGCAAAATAATCTCTAAATTAAACATATCTATAGCTTATGTTTCCTTAGTCGAACTCCTTTAGGTTGAGCTTCACTAAAATAAGTCCTACCCATGTTGAATCTTGTTGGGGAAAATCTCCTTTTGAGCAGGGCGCATCATAAATAAATGCAACTTTTGATAAAGCTCCTCCGAGGTGAACTTAGGCTTTGTTTGGGACGGCTTTCTTACTGCTTCTTAAAGTAGTTTTTTTATACAAAAAATAAAATTTTTATACAATAAAACAGCTTTAAAAAATAGTAAGAAAGCCCTCCCAAACAAGCCCTTAGTTGATCCCTACATGTTAAGTGTACCCTTACAATGAGTGTACAAAATGGGTGTGAGTAAAGCAAAAGTCAAAGAAAATGAAATGGGTTTAAAAACACTAGATATCAAATTATTGGTTGGACATTCATTATTTAATGGTATTCCCAATATGAGTGCTTCAGATAAATCCTATAAATTTAGATATTTCTTTAATTTTAAACTTTGACAGTGTATATGCCTAAATAATGTTCATTTGATACGCACATGCACTCATACATGCAAGCACACAAACACAAATATATGATTCATAATCAATAACACTCTTATTTTTAATAAAATTATTTAAAATATAAGACTATTCACCCATTTGCACTAGAGTACTGCTACAATCCGCTAATAAAATTCCAAAAAAAAAAAATTGAGATTTTATAAGCCATTGTTTATTTACTTGTGGTTTCTTTCATGTCATAAGTGTGTGTATATATCATTTAGAAAATTCATTATAAATCAAATTGAAAAGAAAATGATCATTCTCACGCAAGCATGTTAAGCCCATCACTCTATTTGTTAGACAGCTTATCTCTCTATTTGTTAGATAGCTTTTTATATATATGAATGAACACACGCAAATATTAACATGTGTGCACCCATGCACAAATTGAGTTGATTTTTTTGAGCTTAAATGACCATGATCTCTCAAATTCTTTCTCATATTACCCAAGTCATCAATCAATAAATATTTCAATTTTTCTAATGATCAACTAAACATTTTGCTCATTTTTAGCCTGTGTTCAACTCTATGATAGACAACCAGAGCTCAAAGAAAAAAAAAATTATTAATCATGAGCTCAGCTAGTACTCTGCATGATAATAGATAACTACAATAGGAAGTACATGCCAAGGTCGAGATGGATCAGACAGTAAAGAAGCTTGAGGTACAAAACTAAATGACATGAAGAAAAGAAATACAATAATAACTCCAGCTTTGTGACCTCAGTTAACCAGAAACACTTGGCCTATAACTTAAGAGTTCATTATAGTTCCTTCGAATCAGACAGTAAAGCGCACAACAGGACCTAAAAAATAAACTTAGAATTAAATCATTGAGTGTCAGGCTAATATTTTAAATCAACAAGAATTCGACAATCTTCCTCAACCCAACTTTGGTTCGGTGTAAAAGAACATGATATTGGCTTTCCTAGCATTACTCTTCATGCGACAAAGAAAAGTCTTGAATCCAATGAAAGTGAGATACCAGTTCATGCTTTATGTTTTGAGATTCTTTGCCATCTCATCAACATCCAACTCAACAGACAACACGGAAGTGTCTTTATCCATGGCCAGATGACTGTTAAATGGAAAACTTTATATACCAGAAAAGCACACATCATGAAATTATTGCTATTATAAACGTAATAGAAGAATTAGCTGCAAACCTATTCTGCACTGGCCCATGATCAACAGCAGATCTCATAGCATATATGACTCGTCCAAGAATGTCACTCATAGGAACTGGACCAAACAATCGGCTATCTCTTGCTTCCTACAAATAAATAACAGAACAGTTATGGCAAGACAAAGTGATGAACAGATGAACGATGCATTAGGCTAATATCAGGAGTTCGTGGAATGCAAGAAAAGACCTACAAAATCAGAATCATCCTGAAGAGATAAATGTTGACCTTCGTATAATACCCAAAGGAAGACAGAATCAACGACAAAAAATACCTCGTATCCCGTCGGATCCACGAATCCCGCTGAATCGGCGCCGCGAACGATCACTTCTCCGTAAACCTGGCGCAAATCCAGCGACGACGGCCTCGTTTCTCGCCTCTCTCGTGTCTATAAAACGAAGGGGCTCTCTCTCACGATCGAATCTCTTCCCCGCTCGCCTCCTCCACACGAAATCCCTGCTCCCGATCCTCCCTCTGTTTCCACGACCAAAGCCGGCTGAACACTGCTTCCTTCTATCGATCCCACACACGACTCTCTCCCACTTCCGAGCACCAGTCGCTACTCCTTCCTTCCCGCACTCAAGTCTCGGCCTCCTTCCTCTCCGACCAAATCCCGTCGACTGACCTAGCCGACACTTGCTCCGACCTCTAGCCATTCCGTCGATCTCCTCTGCTAGTTCCACCTCCACAGCCTCTCGGCTCCCATCGCCACTTCCGATCCAAACCAGGGAGTCGGCCCTCTAGCTGCTTCCGATCCAGAGAGAGAGGGAGAGGGAGAGAAAGAGGCCGATCCATCCTTACCTTCTTCCTCCTCAAACCCGCAGGTCTACCGAAACCGAGCCCTCTTGCCCGACCTTCCTCTCTGCCTTGGCCGCAAGATCTCCTCTCTACTCTATCTCAGTATATATATATATATATATATATATAAAGAAAGAGAGATTATCGATTTAAAAAGTGTAGGATTATTTACCCTCATGCATCTTTCAACATTCATAACAAATTTTAAATGCATAAAATTAAAGTAGATAAAATATAAAAGGTACATAAATCTTGTCTTATGGCTACTTTGAAATCATCTCTCTTTCTCTCTCTATGGACTATTTTTAATTCATAAGGTGCTATCAATTTGGCACGCAATATAAACAAGAAATAAAAATCCATCATGTTCAAATTTTTAATGTTCCTTAAACAAGGTCCAATTATTCAATGGTAGCAATTATATATTCACTGCTCCTAATAAGAATGCTAATTCAAAGGTCAAATCAAGAAAAGCAGATATAATTTAGACACCCATTCACCTGTTTGTTCTGCTTCAGAAATCACCAATTCTTTAGTTCCTATGTTGTCATAAGAAATGGATACTTTTTCTGGACCCTTCGCCTTGGGCACCTTTCTTTTGCTTGAAAATGAAAGCGCATCAAGCTGCTGCTGTAAATTATTGTTCCTCTCCTGATAAATGTGAAAATGTCAAACAATAAAACACCCAAATCTGCAAACTGCGGCATTTCAGCAAATTCTGCAATTCCTTTTGCTAAACATAATCAGACCCCTAAATAGCGGCAAGGTTCAGGCATAATCAAAGCTACACAAAGAAAAAAGGAAAGAAACAGGACAGTTATTGTGAATGGTGCAATATATCAATGGCCAATGTGGGAGAAGACCTCAAATGAAACTAGTTGGAAGGCACCATAAAGCTAAAGTTAGAACGGAGTATTATACGCACATCATGTCACTCAAACCAAAAGCAGTTTTCTCCTTCCAAATAACTGCAAAATTTAGCTTTATGGTGTCAACAAACTTTAGACAATAACAAATATTAATGAAGCTAGAGACAGCAACCTTACTACACAAAGATGCAGTGGTAGAGGAAGAAAGCATATGTGAAAGAACGAAATGGGTATCCTCTTGGTTAAAAATGAGAAATGGAAAGCCTTGGTCCACCTTGATGACAATGGTCAAAAGACACCACCATTTCTTTGGAGAGAAGGCATTCTGTCACTAGAACCAAACTAATGGTTCATTTGGGAAAGACTTCTCACAGTTTTTTTTTACGATAGCTGCCATAGGCTTGGATGGCAATAACGTTTTTGTTGCTGTGGGCTCCGAAAATTCGGCTCTGGCCTCCACTCGCTTTTCTTATTCAGCGAGGGAGTTTTAACGTAATAAGTTCCGAGGTAAATTTTGGAAGGCAGATGGGTTTGTAGATAAGATACTACCCAGAGATTTCGCCCTCATTTTGTGAGGACTTTATGATCTGAGTTCTGGTTTCCTATAGGCGAAAGCCCCTATAGTTAATTACCCCTCCCACTAACGAGAGAGAACTTTCGATTAAGGCTAGTCATCGATCAGATACGTAGAATATACGTGCATCTGGCATATAGTAGCAGCATA